GCTTTGTAAGTTAAGCTCAGCGTCTCCTTCTCCTGTCCGTCCTTGCATTGAATCATTTTCTCTTTCACCATTCTCCTCTCTTCTATTAATTTCCAAGTGTCCGTTGAGAGCCATTCCTTGTCTTGTCTCTTCTTTCTTCCTAGAACCACTGAACACGTTTCGTTGAGAATCGCCTTCAATATTAGCAATCACTTTTATTCCAAACGGTAATGATTATACAGGATAGAATTTCCGGTCTTTGTATATACTGCAACAATTTAGCTCCTTTTATAACGAAAGCGAAGGAAAAAGAAGGGGAAATATCAAACATTAATGAGGCCCTCAAGCAAAATAACTACCTAAAGAACTTCATTAACAAAATCAATACTGACATTGAGTATGGTCGAAAACGTATTCCGAAAACATGGGCCTCAACAGTTGTCATTCCACAGAGACCATCAGAAGCGTCAAACGAGATATCAGAAGAGTACTCAATAAGCACAATATCAGAGTTTTCTTCAAAATGTCAGACTCACACACTACGAAGCAACCCTTATCGTCCATATAAAATACCAAATCCCTAAAGATTCTCAATCTAATTGTGTCGATAAAATAAAATGCTTGCAATGTGATGCGATATACATTGGGCGAACATCTCCAGAGAGAAATCAAAATCAGAAGAAATGAACACCGTAGAGCATTTGTTAGACCAACCACCGAGAAATTCAGTTAGTGAACTAGAAAAGCATGAAAAATCATCAGTCATAGGTGGTGGCCTACACGCTATAGAATCAGGCCACAAAATTGATTTTGACAATATTGAAATAATCCAGAAAAGCATTTCAGAAATTCCAAAGAACGTCTAATATCAGGAGAACTTCATATCAGGTGGAAACCCAACTGACTGAATAGGAATGATGGACTAAAACAGAATTCGACCTGGTTACAACACCTCCCTCCACCATGAAGTGACAAAATCAACAAGAATCTGACTGATAAGCAATTTCCTTATGTAAACACACGCTGCTTTTATAATTTTACACACTTATCAAATCCAGCAGTCATCTACACCTAATTTTGATATCTTTACGAATTGGCCAATTTGACAGGGGAAAAATGACCCCATACTGATGAACAATGACGATTAAGTTGTTATACATATAAGCTGAGCGGATTTTGTAAATTCTGGTTTAATAAGAAAGCTATTGATAAAGCCATTAGCGGCAGCATTAAATAACAAAACGTCAGTAAAAGTCACAATATCGTTTTGTTTTTCATTTATTGGAAAATACAAAAAGAACTTTTATTATTATATAAATACATAATATAGTAGTAACAATGAAAGCATCAAAACTGATAGTTAATGGAATATAATTAAAAAAAATAAATAAATAGTATAGTAAATAATGAATGTAATAGTAATTGTGGTTATAATATGCAGCTTAGTTACTGATTTAAATGGTATATAAGCTCTTTTCTGAAATTTGTATGTTTACATAAAGCCCTTACTAAATATGATACAGTAGAATTTCTATATTTTGCCCCACAAGAGCATAAATTCTTATGAAGCTGCTTTTCTGGTCTTATCCGATGAGAGGGGCGAGGGGAAAGCTACGAATGAAGAGGATATTCTTGTATCAGAGAAAATAACTTTATCCAACTGCTTTCATGGATTAAAATGTCTGTTGAATAATAGTGTCAGTTAATTGAGTCAAAGGCCTACCAATAACCCTACTTACAGTCTTCTCTGTTCCACATATTAAGGAATGGTCATTTTGAGAAGTCAAGGGAAGACTAAAGGGGTGACGATAAAGAAGAACGGGTAGAACACATGAATTAATAAGTTTTTTTTTCAAGTATTGGTTTCTTTAGTAATTTTGTTTGATTGGTTCGAGGATTTCAACATGAGCTCACATCAGTTAGAGAACCACTGGATAAGCAGCTGAGAGTACTGAACAGCCAGCTGTTTTGTCAACCTTGTCTGGGAACTCTCCAGCAGTACGCACCCCCCCGTAGGGCTACAAACCAGAACCTTCTGGTCACAAGATGAGCCAGCTCTCAGACTATTCAGCCACTGGGACCCAATCCAGTGATCAGTCCATGAATTCTAACTTCTGCCAAATCATGACATAGCGTGACGACTTTGCAATGTCTTCTTCGATGAGTTACTACCTCACCTTCAACTTGCTGTACCCTACTGGTCACGGCTTCCCACTAGAACTCCAGGTTACTGATTGAATAGGGCTAGTCCCTGGTGAGCATCAGATGAAACAGCTGTCCAGTACTCCCAGGCTTACTAATGGTTCTCTGACTGATGTCAAATTATGGTGAAATCCTCCAACCAGTTAATAAATTGCAAAAGGAGAGGTTGGTTGGAGTTAAACCATAAAGTCTGAAATTATTTATGTAATAATTCAAATGAAACATTTTCTTAGAAAACAACAAGAAGAAATGAGACAATCAATTTGAATTTGAGATTTTCTCGTCGATTGATTGGACCGAAGGGCTCGGTCTCAGGTTGACATGTCGGCTTCTTGTGCCTGATGTTTCGACGATGTCTTGGCATTTAATTAGTATCTAATTGGTGGATGGTGACTAGCAGTGGAATCCAGGATAAAGCGCATTTCGTCCTATTTGGGACTCGTCAGCTGGTGGGAACGTGATCACTCACTGAGAAATGCAGGTACATCCAGATGATGAGTCCCAAATGGGAATAAATGCGCATCTTGGATTCCACTGCTAGTCACCATTCACCAATTGAGAACCAATATAGTGGTTCAAAGGGGAATTAGTGCTAAGATGGGCTATATTCTGTTTACTCGCTATCGCGGTGACGTCGACATTACAAAAATCATGAGACTGGGTCAGTCTACGGATAATGTATTCATATCTGACACTAAAATCAATAGTATGACATTTGGAGATTTCTAGTTTAGGAGCATTTCAGTAAGAGAACTGATCAAGCTCAGATAAGATACTCTTCATATCAAAACAATCCAATGAAGAAACGATTGGCGGATAGAAATGGTCAGACCATCAGCAGGCTTAAATGAAATTATGCTTCGAATAATAATTATAATACAGTAGATCATGTGAAAAGAAAAACAGCACCTTGAGGCACAGCAGACCAGTTTCCGTAAACAAGGAAAAGTCGAGGTCTTTCCATTCAAGACAGGGGTTGTTTCTTAACTGAAAAAGGTTGAAAGATAAAAAAGTCACTTTGTGATACAGGATTCAATGCGTGCTAAAATCAGCTTGTTTAGTAAAATTACTATCATTATTGTTTCTTTTAGTTCCTAAAGGAACATAAGGCTTCAGCCACGTCTCCATTACGTTCGGTTCTCTGCCAAAGTTTCCACCTGTCTGCACGTCTGCCCACATGCTTCATCTCCTCTTCACATCACCTCTTCCATGTTGTCACCCTCGCAATGGCGACCAACTCACTGCTTCCCATTCAGGCTCCACTCGAGCTATTGCGTGCCGCGTAATGTCACTTGGTGCTATTTTAAGAGTATGCCCAGTCAACCTACATTTCTTCCTGCATATTTGTTGCACAATTGATTCCTGCTGGGTTGGTTGCTGATCTTTTCTGGTCGGCCATCTGATCCTGAGTAGTATTAAGCGAAGATAGCTAGCTGTTGATGAAGGTCTGTAGTTTGTTCGAAGTGCCCTTCGTGACACTGAGTGCTGTTGACCTCCTCACAGACTTGAGAGAAATGATATCGTTGTCAGATCCGCCCCGCCTGTATTTGAAACGACGCTTCTCAGGTAAGCCGATAGGTAAAGGAGGTTGCTTCTTTCAGATTTCTCCATTTATGCTGGCTGATTGTTGTCTGTTGTAGTTTCTGTTACTGTTGCTAAGGGGTCTTCATCACCTCTGTCTTCTCCATATTCACCTGAAGTCCTATCTTTGATGCTTCTTCTGACAACTTGTTGCTTAGTTAAATAACAATCATCAAAAAAAATATATCAAAAATTTACAGATTTGTAAATATCTTTTATCCTCGGTGGGAACATCATCACTCACTGAGAAATGCAGGTACATCCAACTGACGAGTCCCAATTAGGACGAAATGCGCTTTATCCTGGATTCCACTGCTAGCCACCATCCACCAATTGTATACAAATCAAATCCCCAGACATCGTCGAAGCATCTGCACAAGAAGCCGACATGTCAACCTGAGACCGAACACTTCGGTCCAATCAATCGACGGGAAAATCAAAAATTCAATTCAATAATTATTATTATCTTTATTAAAAGTCTAGATCGTCTTCGAAAATCCACCTTTCTTATTGGCTAATTGTCAAATAGGAACAGAACACCTTCACTATGGAATACAAAACTAAAAGTTGCCAAAATAAAAGGAACAGAGGGTGGAAAGTGAGAGAGAGAGAGAGACAGCGAGGCGATGAAAATGGAACCACACACACACACACTCACAACAGAGAGTGGATAACTGAGGTTGGTGAAAAACTAGGTGGAAAGGAAGATGTTAAAAAGAGAGAGAAAGAGAATAAAAGTAACAAAAACCAGTCAAAAATAAAAAATAAAATTGTTTATTTTCATAAGAACAACACTTAAAAAAACTTTGTTGGTGTGTGTATGCGTTTGTGCGTGTATAAGTGAGTTTAATTAATATAATTAACGAATAATGTAGATGAATGCCTACAGAGAATACATACATAAATACACACCTACGCACACACACACACACACAAAAAGGGGGGATAGAGAAAAAGAGAAGAAATGCACATATATACGCACACTCAGGCATATACACGTCAAGTATATATCTATCTGTCTGTCTATCGATCTGTATGAATGTACATTTGTGTGTATGGCATGTGTGCGTGCACGCATGCATTCATTTGATCAAATTTCTGGTTTTCTACCTTAAAAAAATAATATTTTTTCACACAAATTTTATTACTATATGAAGAAGAAGAAGGTTGGAGTAATCACACAAGAGATTGAAAGAAACACTTTCAGAAATATCTTCTGGTTGTGATTGAAAAGGAGAATGCTGATGAATGCTGATGAGGGGAATTATGCTCCGGCAACCACCACAGAGAACAATACTACCATTACCACTAATGCCACTAATATTAATACAACTAATAATAATAATAACAGTGACGACATGACTCATTTGATAACTCAGCGAAACACTGATAAATCACCACTCTGTCCTGGAGCTATCATCGAAGATAGTCACCAAAGTGAAACTATCCTCCGGCCTGGTTGTAAAAGGAATTTACCAATGTGTGATAGTGATCCAGATCAATGGAAAGAAGATCCTGTCATAGTGAATACCAGCGAAAATGTTGACAGTGTTGACATGAATGACATGCGATCAGATTGTTTGAATTATATGACACAGCGACAATTCTACGGCGACCAGACACTAACTCATCACCAATCTGTTCTACATCGAAGCTTGGCGGAATGTTTGAAACGTTTATGTAAACAAATGGAAAGAGATTGTATGCCGAATACTTCTAGTGTTATGCCTTCTCAAGCATTAGATTTGAGTATGTCATCAACAATGAAGTCGACGGAAAATTTTCCTCTGAATCAGACACTGGAAGCAAGAAGAATGTCATTGAAAAACTTGTCAGCATCACCGTCATCCTCAAGCACAACATCGTTGGCTTCGATTTCTCCGTTAACATCCACAGGCTCAAATAATATTTCACAAACCTGTGTCAATATCAGTGACAGTTTGGGACGAAATCTACCATTATGTCATCAATATGAACATATTCGTTCAGATAATACTGGATCTAATCTACCTTGTATTACAAGTAAAACTGATACATTGCATAATTTGCCATTGGTTATGTCACAAATGAATTCACTTATACCTCAAAATGCTAATAATAATAATATGTTTACTTGTAAAAATTCAAATTCAGCGGCATTGAATCATATGCAATCTCATGACATTTTAACAAGTAAGTTCTACTGAAACATGGTTACTTTTTATTATAAAAGTTTTTCCATATATAATCCCCCTTTCATTGATCATATTGAACTGGAATGTTAGCTGTTTGTTGACGAGTAATTCACAAGTACAGACGCTTCAATGACGTCTAAAGATGAAAATCATATTTGCTAATTGATTGACTGACTGAAGTGCACTGAAGTGCAGCAGCAGTCGGAGTTGCAACACTCCGTGTAGCACAGAAAAGATTGAGAAAAGAAAGGTACGATTTTGAGCCTCAGCACCGGTTGTCTCCAGTTGCTATTGGTTCTTAAAATCCCGAGGCAATCTACACCTTCGTATGTGGCTGGCTTAAACCAGCAGTCATACAATTCACGGAGTGATTCCAGATTTCGGTTTGTTTTTACCTCTAACGCTTTCTCAACCTGATTATATCTTCACTAAGAGTGCCAGTCGTTAATCTCCAAATATCGCTGAATCGTCAGTATTACAAGCGAACATTTCAGAGGTGACTAACTGGATCTTGTGGTCCAGTAGCCTAGTGGATAACGTTTAAACATCCGGGGCAATGGATAGTGCGTTCGAGTTGCAGTAGGGATACAACAACCAGGTAAGGAGTCCTAAGTGGGGTGAAATGCCCCTCTTAATTTCTGTGAATACGCCTAATTCATAGTTCATACTCCCCGTGATAAAGGTGACAAAATATCAGTATTTAATGAGTTCATCAACTATGAGTACTGCTCTACATATATCATTATTTATTCGCTTTGCTGAACACTGCTTCAAATGCCTTTGTAGTATTCACGATAACATCTCAAGGAGCTCATTTGCACGACATTTATTCGACAGTGATCATACCAGTGACATTAAGTGAAAGCTTTATAGGTAGCAATAAAAAGCTCTTAGGTTTGCTGAAGCTCGAGCAATCAGTTTAAAGAACATGGATCTCGGTATACAAAAGGAGACATCAGCAGCTAGCTTAAATCTACCTTAGCGTTATTGTTATTATTTCCTTTAATTCCTAGATGAACATAGGGCTTCAGCCGCGCATGTCGCCATTGAGTTCGGTTCTCTGCTAGAGCTTTCACCTGACTCTAAGTCTGCCCACATGCTTTCATCTCCTCTTTACATGACCTTCTCCAAGTCCCCTTCCCACTGACGACCAACTCGCCACTTCCCTTTCGGGTTCCACTCGAGCGATGGCTTGTCTAGTGACGTCACATGATGGTTTCCTCAGAGTATGGTTAGCCAATCCACCTCGATTTCTTCATGCATATTTGTTGTACAATCGGTTTCTGCTGGGTTGGTCCGTTTATTGCCAGAGATTCCTGTTGCTGATCTTTTCTGGTCGGCCATCTGCTCTTGAGTAGTAATGAGTGAAGACAGCTAGCTGTTGATGATGCAGGTCTGTAGTTTGTTTGAGGTGCTCTTTATGACGCTCAAAGTCTAAATCTACCTTGGTAGCAGATATTTATTTTACCTTTACAATTTTCCTTCCCTTCTAACTTCTCTTTACAGTGAATGGTTTTTCCACTATTATTAATTTTTCTGACATACTCTTGATTTCTTCAGGATATGTGAAAATAGAAAATTATAGGTGAGTATTCCTCTTGGTGAGGAGTGTTCACGTTATCTAAATTAAGTTAGATCAGACAAGCTAAAGTTTTGTTATTTAAATCCTATGTGACTTAATAATTCCCATTGTAGCATTAAGAACACAATATATTCAACGAAGAGACTCTTTTCCACGACGAATTTATTATCAAGCTGTACAATCGTATATATACGGGTTTCTTCATTAAGAAATTATATCCGGTGAGGGAATTAGGTCAAAGGTGTGAATACATGAAATAATAACAGTGGTAGTATGAAATGCAATTAAAATATTTGTGATTATAATCATGATTTAATGTCTAGTGGTAAAATAATTAATGTCATATATATAGAATAATACATAAGGTGTATAGATTTTGGAAAGGTATACATAATTATAAGATTAGTAGACGAATACAAAATGTTACATAACATAGTGTGAAATTTGATAAGATAGAATTCAATATTGTAAAAATAAAATAAAAAATATAAAAATTAATAATTTTGTGTTTAAACTGTCGCCTCGATGTGGATCTACCAGTTCACCTGCCCTTGTAGAGCAGGGTACACTGACCGTAGTCAGAGGACGCTTTCCACACGGATACGAGAACATATTCCAGCATGGTTTTACAATGGAGAAAGGAAGTTTACGCGAAGTTCTTTTCTGGAATACCTGATCGACTTCTGTCACTCGGTCAACCCTGACCATGATTTCAAGATCGTATGTAGAATCCATGCTAAGTTGACGACCGCGTTTTCTTCATTACAGACTTCTAAAGAGAGCTGAGGCCTTGACACTTCATGACTTTAAGCCATACCTTTGTGTACAAAAGAAGTATGTACAATTCCTACTTCTGCCTTGGCCGTAGAGGGATAGACATTTATTTATTTTGTTTATTTAGTTATTCTACGTACCTTTTCCTTATAACTACGATTATTATCATTATTATTATCACTATTCTTTCTCTGAAATGTTTCCACTTGCCCCACTTCTCATTTTAAACCCAAAAATTATTAATTTTTATTTTTTATTTTTACATAATTTAATTCTATCGTTTCAAATTTCACGCCATGTTATGTAACATTTTATATTAGCCTACTAATCCTATAATTATGCACCCCATTCCAAAATCTATACACCTTATGTATTATTCTATATATATGACATTAATTATTTTGCCACTTGACATTAAACTATGATTATAATCACAAATATTTTAATTGCATTTCATACTACTATTATTATTATTTCATGTATTCACACCTTTGACCTAATTCCCTCACCGGATATAATTACTTAATGAAGAAAACCGTATATATACAATTGTACAGCTTGATAATAATCCTATATAGTTTACATATGTAAAATTTATTTTCAAGTATTCACTTTAGGGATTTTCTTTGATTATTTGGAGGATTCCATCATGCTATGACATCGGTTAGAGAACGATTGGGAAGCCATGACCAGTATGGCACAGCAGGTCAAAACTGAGGAGAGTTACTTACCGAAGACATTGTGGAGTAGTCGCGCTTTGTTATGAAATAGCAGAATTTAGACCTGGCGAGTTGATCGGTTCCCACTGGCTGCTTAATGGTCTACGAGCTGGCTTGCCTTGTAACCAGAAGGTCCTGAGTTCGAACCCCCCAAATGGTGAGTGTGAACTGACGAAGAGTCCCAAGACTGGATGAAACAGATGGCTGTCCAGTACTCCCAGTTGGTTTTCCGATGCTTCTCTAACTTATGTCAGCTCACGATGAAATCCTCCAACCAATTAAGCAAAATCCCACAAACCAATACATGGAAATAAGAATGCGTTGTGAAATGGTGGTCTCTAATTCTGATTACAACCTTCATTTAATAACTGTTGTCCATGGCTATCTTCCTCCGTTATAAAACCCCAATCCAGGCCGTTTTGTTTTCATTGTTTTCACAAATTCATGAATAGTCCCATTCAGGTGTTAGTGAAAACAACGAAGTGAGCAGTATTCAACGAAGAGGCTCTTTTTCCTTTTTATCTCATTTAAAGACATTTTTCAACAAGAAAGGATAGTAACAAAAGTGATGAATTTTCATAATTACATTGTTTTGGATATTGGTCAATGCATAAGAAGAGATGAATAAGCTTATTCGTGTTAAGTAATACGGTGAATAATCTAATCAATGAGTTGTAATCATGACGCATTTAGAAACATAAAAGAGAAATGTGATGTTGCGTAAAAGTTATAAAGAGTTAAATAGCAAACAAACAGGCGAGTGTTTATCGTCCCACTCAGGTTGGTAGACCTCGGGCATTAAAATTTGTGAGTCACTGGGATACGTTCCAGTCACTAAATGGTCAAAAAGTTCACATTGTAATCTCAAGACCATAGGTTCGATCCCTTATGGGTAGGATCGCCAGTGCGTTCTGATGAAGAGTTGCAAAATTGGCTGGAACAGTTAGTTGTCCAGTAATTCTTTTTGGTTCTGAGTGACTGTCTAACTGCTGTTAGACAGTGTATAGTCAGTCTTGAAGACACTTCTCTGTTGTCTGAAGTTTAAAGTATCAAATATCCATTGACAAAAGTTATGTGTTTTCAAGAGTTGGTTTGTTTTTTGAGTTAGACCACAGATTGACATCAGTTAGTGAATTATTGGCAGTCAAGGAGCACTGGACAGCTGCTTCATACGCCTAGTTTGGGAATCATCGGAAGTACGCACCCACCAAGGGTCGAACACAGGACCTTGCAGTCACAAGGCGAGCTCGTATACAATTCAGTCACTGGGAGTTAATTCAATGGCCAGCTCATGAATTCTAACCAGTTCGTGATTTTTAACGCCACGACCAACCAATGTCATTGAGAACTTCATCCTCACTCCCGACTAGATGCAGCTCACTGGTTGCTCCAGGCAACTTCGTCCTGTAGCAAGTCACTAGAGTTCTGTTCAGATAATCATTTGTTTCTTGTAAGCACTAACTTCAAACACAAGGAGAGACACTGTTTGACCTGGCGACCCCCTTCATCTAACCAACGCTGGACACAAATAGACCACATAGCAATAAGCTATCGTTGGCGTGGGTCGGTAGGAGATTGTCGCTCCTTCTGGAACACGTGTGTAGATACCGATCACGCACTGGTCCGCGCTCGGGTGTGCTTACGACTGAACGGACGTAGGAAACAGCTGGCGGTAAAACCATCACGTCCCCAGCTCGATCAGGAAACTAAATCCGTATTTGAGGAAGAACTAGCTAAACACATATCTGAATTCGACAGCTGTGCTCACCCTGAAGAAGCTTGGAAAAATATCCAGGCAGCCATAGATACAGCTGTAAAAGCTGTGAATAAGGTAAACCCAAAGGTGAGTAAAAACCACTGGATCTCCACCGCCTCATCCGAACTGATAGATGCTAGAAGACTTATTCCGGCGAGCTCCGAATTCAATGAGGAGCGAAAGCTGCACAAGAGGAAACTTACGAAAAGTCTCCGCAAGGACCGTGAACAGTGGTGGGCGACAAAAGCCAAAGAGATGGAGAAAGCTTCGAGGATAGGCAACACCAGGCAACTCTTTAGACTCATCAGGGAAACGGGTGGGAGAAGGCAAATCATAGTGAAACAATCTCGGAGAAAAATGGCACCATAATTAGCTCCCAGGATAGACGACTGGATCGTTGGAAAGAGCATTATGAGGAGCAGTTTAATTGGCCCACAGCCACGCTCAACCTTCCGAACATCCAACACCTCCCTGAATGGGATATAGACACAGGTCCTCCATCCTAACTGAGGTTACTAAAGCTGTCACCAATCTGAAACTAGGCAAAGCAGCGGGACCTGATGGAATGACTCCAGAGGTATTTAAGTACGGTGGAGACAGTTTACTGTCTGCATTAACTGAGGTACTAGGCAGCGTCTGGGAATCAGAAGAAGTCCCATCGGGTTGGTGTAAGTCACTGATTATCCCCATATACAAGAAGGGAGACAAGTCTTCCTGTGATAATCACAGAGGGATTAGCTTGACTAATATAGTATCTAAAGTCTTAGGCTCAATAATCATGCGTAGACTGAGTGGTGCTCGGGAGGCACAAACACGAGAGAGCCAGGCAGGCTTTAGACCAGGAAGAGGGTGTATTGATCATATCTTCACCCTCCGACAGATTCTAGAACATAGGCATTCCTACCGGCGTCCAACAGTCATTATATTTCTTGACCTAAAGGCAGCATTCGACTCTGTCGATCGGAAGTTCTCTGGAGATGCTTGGCTGTAAAGGGAATTCCCAGAAAATATATTGCACTGATTAAGGCACTCTACTCGTACTCATACAGCCAGGTGAGGGCTTACGGCGAGCTGTCATCTGAACTGATGACGACCAGTGGTGTCCGTCAAGGATGCCCATTATCCCCTTTTCTATTCAACTTCATCATAGATGTGTTAATGGACTTAACCCTAGGTGACTTCAGCGACTCAGGGATTGACTTGCTACCGGGAATAATCTCGTTGACTTGGAATATGCAGACGATATAGTCCTTCTAGGCGAAGACGCTGACAAAATGCAGAGTCTTCTAAACACCTTGAGCTGCAATCTACGAATGTTTGGCATGCGATTCGCTCCCGCCAAATGCAAGATGATGTTACAGGACTGGACTACATCGACGCCTAGTTTAAAAATAGGAAGTGAAGTGGTAGAGCACGTTGACCGCTTCACTTATTTGGGAAGTACCATCAGCCACAACGGGTTGATCTCTGACGAAATCTCAGCACGAATACAGGGGGCTCGTTTCGCATTTGCCAGTTTACGCCGACTCTGGCGTAGACGAGATGTTCGACTATCGACCAAAGGGCGGGTGTACTGCTCATCAGTCCGCTCCGTCCTCCTTTATGGCTGTGAGACCTGGCCACTGAGAGTGGAAGACATGAAAAGACTAGCTGTCTTTGATCATAGGTGCCTGCGCTCTATTTCCCGTGTAAAGTGGCATAATAAGGTGAGCAACATTGAGGTTAGGCGTCGAGTTCTAGGTAAACAGGGGAAATCAATCGACGAAGTCGTGAAGGTACAAAGACTGAGATGGTTAGGACATGTGTTACGTATGCCAAGTCATCGCCTCCCTCGACGAGCAATGTTAGCGGATATAGGGTCAGGCTGGAAAAAAGCTAGCGGCGGTCAAACAAAAACTTGGCACCAGTCAATGAAATCCACAACAGTTGGTCTAAGCCACGTAGGAAGGTGTAGACTTCCAGGCTGGGGTCCTCGGGACGGTAAAAATCTATGGTTGGAAACAATTGGTGACATGGCTCAAAATCGTTCTCAGTGGCGCAGATGCATCCACTCCCTGTGACTTATGATCTTCAATGAAACTGTTTTGTTCTTCGTTATTACTCCTTTGTCTCACACCTCTGCTCACTGTTTCTATTATGCTTTTCTTGTACTTTCTTCTCTTGCTTCGCGTGCTACACGGAGTGTGGCGACTTGAACTGCCGCACATATGTGCAAAGTTTTATGTCGAAAACAGACAGAGACAGACAGACAGACTAGAGGTCTAACTCGAAAACCAAGTCGACTCTTGAAAATTAATCTGATGCTCTCTAGTGACTTGCTAGACGATGGAGTTTCCTGAAATTCTAGTGAGAAGTCGTAACCACTGAAGTGCTTGTGGTCGGGAAAAGGGGATGAAGTTTACTCCGACGACATCGGCTGGTCGTCGCGCTAAAAATCACGAATGGTTAGAATTTAGAGTTCATGGACTGACTATTGAATTGAGTCCGAATAGCTGAATGGTATACGGGCTTGTCTTGTAACCGGAAGGTCCTAAGTTCGATTACCCCGGTAGTAGTGGGTGCGTACTAGCGATGATTCCTAAAGTAGATTGACGAAACACCTGTTTGAATGTCGGAATTCAGATCATCGCTGATTATTGAACAGATAACTAGTGATATCCTCAAAGTTTAATGCAGAACACCCTATTCACTAACAATTCTGCATGGCCTTTGTGAATTCATTAAAAATTAAAAGTCATCTCAAAGGGGAACAAAAGATGTTGGTTTAACACTCGTCTCTTTTAATGTTAGACACGATCGTCGGGGGTCTTTGGACATAGGCTTCATGCGCCAAGGTAAATTCCAGCTTTTCACTCAACACTGTTGGTTTGAAACAGCTTGAATAATATTTCAATCAGCGATGAATAGCTTAAAAGTTTCTGGCTCCATCCCACTCGTGCTGATGGTCCATACAGATGAACCAGTTGTCTGCATTTCCATAAGCCTGCTTCAATAGGCTTCAACCGGTTGACGAAATAGCGTATTTGAAGACATATTCATCTCACGAACTAGTAAATATCCTCTCCACAACTAGGAAGAGAAAGTTACCAGTATTCTCTGATTTTCAGTATGATTTTCGTCCGTGAAAAAGTCTTCTCTATGTCAGTCATATACTAACACGGTAAACCACTGTTGTTGAATGGCTGAAGAAAGTGCTTATTCAATGTTGATGGAAAACGAACAATTCAACTTTTATGATCTTTGAAGTAACCATATCTCTCAGCACTGTAGTTTTTAAATCAGTGCTACTCATTCGTGTCATGAGAATTAATCAAGCACAACTTAATTTGTAATTTTTTCTCATATGTTTCTTTTAGGTTCAACCCTTTTATCCCCGGTCTGTCTTCCAACCAATTCAATTTACCAACCCTGACACCAATAGCTACAACCATATCCAAACCACAATCTTTACCAGAGACGGATATTTTTACAAAAATCTCTGATGCATTTTATTCCCAACGAAATGGTGTTGATGTTGGTGGTGATGGTGGTGCCTATGATCATCAGTCTATGATGAACAGTGTGTTGAATCCAACCGATCTGATTTGGAATTATTCAACCAACTATGCACTACACTGTCCACCAAATAATTTAAACCAGAATACATTAAACGAAAGCAAGAAAGAGGATACTTCTACGTGTACGTCTCCTGAGTCAGCATCAAAAGATTTTGATAGTGAAACGTCTTTAAAGCATGGTATGTCAGATGTCAGAATATATATATTTTTTGTGTGCATTTCTTGCATTCTGAGTAGACACAGGGTATCAATGATGTTGGTTTTTTGCTTGGAGTTTCCAGCTTAGTGCCAAACCTCCCCTTTTCTCCATGTTACCACCACCCAGTGATCTGGGCAGGGTTTAGGAGTGCATCAGTCAGAAATCGAACCAGGACGTCCTATTTGGCTGGTGAACATTCTTCCGGTGAACAATCGATGCCTACTAACCAAAGTGAGATGTTAGGGTTAAAATGACAAACATCCGGTTAAAGAGGAAATCTAGTATCGGATAAGTGGCTTAAGCACTCGGTTTTCAGATGAAGGGTCACAAGTTCGAGTCCCACCCTACTTACACCAGCTTGAGTGCACTGAAACCAACCATTCAATCTATGGGTTTGTAGAAGACTGATAAGAGCTGTGCATTATTTTGAGTTCCTAATAAATAGCGTTTTGAATACCACCTGGTACTTTACCCTTTCTGAGGGCTTTCTGGATGAAATGAACTCTGAAATCTGTGGCAGTTTTAAATCCCTGAATTCATTTGGTAAAGTCCACCATATTTTCAAACAGTATATCTAGACAGTGACAATCTGAAGACTGGTAGAATGCGGAAAGCTTTGAGCAGACAGTTCCTCCCTCTAGTTCAAGACCATTCAGTTCAGCTCATCTATATGTTTAGAAGAGAACAGAAACCAAGAGTGTCACGTCTAACTGTGAGAGGTCTATTGCGTCTCAGCTACTTAATAGGGAAACACTCTACTCCTTACCTGGATAGCGAGCTGGAGTATAATACTGAATTGCCTAGAACTACGAGGAGGCAGCTTCCTGATTCTCAAGTATTCCAACCGTGAGACTGATTCGTAACATGATTAACTATCAACCTGCAACAGCAGTTTGAACCATTTACCATAAAAAAACTGTTTTCATTGTCTCTTTCGTTTTATTTCAGATTCAATGGACACAGAACATGTAGAATCAAAAGCAAATGGACTCTGGCTAACTGACGCCGATTTACACTCCCTACCAAATCTTGTTGAAGCGATTAAAAAGTTCCATTCAAATGATGAATGTGGTTATGAAGCATGTCGTGCGTCAAGACTTAGAGAACATTATCATTGTGGTGTGTGTAGTAAGGTAAATTTAATCAATTTGTATTGACATATACAAATTTCATTCTAAGCAAAACTTACAAACACTTAAATATCGATGAGATACTCACAAGCGACTTGCCCTATTCAGGTAGGTAGTTACCTGGGGTTCTAGTGAGAAGTAGTGACCAGTAAGATGCAACAGATCGGGTGTGAGGACAAATACTCGCGCTATGTCGTGAATTGGTAGAAGTTAGAATTCATAGGCCATTAGATTGGGTCCCAGTGGCTTAAAGGTCTACGAGATGGCTCGCCCCGAAACCAGAAGGTACTGGGTTCGAACCCCAGTGGGTTCGTACTGATGAAGAGTTCCATGCTAGGACGAAACAGCTTTCCAGTACTCCCAGGTGGTTTTCCAATGGTTCCCTAACCAGTGTCAGCTCATGATGAAATCCTGTAACCAATCAATCAGATCCCTACAAACAAACACTTAAAAAACTACTTATCCTAATTTCCTATTGGTCCAGCCTGAAGGTAGGTGGTATGCACCTGCTAGGAATACTCTGATGTTCAAGGGGATGTATACTTATTTGGTATCTTGCTTGAGACAAGTTTTACTTACTGGAACAAATGGAACATGAGTTGCTTCAAGATTGCAGGTAGATACGTCTGCCTTACTGACTGGTGAGTGCCAGCGAGCACGATACTTGGGTCTAGTCAGGGCTTTCTGCCGATCGCCTCCAACCATCTTGCAATAGAACAGAGGTACACAAGGTGGTGGTGTAATACTGATAATAGGTTCCAACGGAATATTATTCTCACGTATTCCCACAGTTCAATACTGCATTAGCAACAGAATACTATGTATAAGTGTTTGAACATTCTATTTCATATCGTTTGATTTAAACCACATACTACGGATCATCATTGAACATAGCTTGCAACGGCAGTCACCTCTCTATCTCACTCAACTTCATCGAATTTGAAAAGGCATTCGACAGCGTCGATCAAGAGGTGATTTGGCAACTACTTCGCTACTACATGGTGCCACCGACAATTATACATCTCATGCAATAGTTTTACGATAATGCTGCATGCCAAGTAATCCACAACGGGAAACTTACAGAATCCTTTAAAGTGAAGTCGGGAGTAAGACAAGACTGCCTACTATCGCTAATGATTTTCCTAATTGCAGTGGATTGGATAATGCAACAAACAGCGGGGAATGAGGAAACAGGCATAAAATGGACTTCGCCGAAGTTCTATGTCTGATTTCCCGCAAAATGGAAGATATGCAAGTGAAAAGCAACAAGTTGGCAGAAGAAGCAACAAAGATAGACTTCAAGCGAACATAGATAAAACAGAGGTGATGAAGATTCCTGGCCAACAGCAACAACAACAGACAACAGTCGGCATTAATGAAAGGAACCTGAAAGAAACAACCTCCTTCACCTACCTGCAAAGCATAGTTTCAACTACAGGACTGACGAGGATATCAAAGCCAGGATCGGGAAAGCAAGGCAAGCTTTCATTACTCTCAAGTCTGTGTGGAGGTCAACAGCACTCAGCATCAAAAATAGGATCCAGGTTTTTAACTCTCATGTGAAGTCAGTGCTACTTACTATACGGATCAGAGACTTGGTGCGTCATAAAGAGCATCTCAAAGAAACTTCTTACCTTCATTAACAGTTGTCTTCGCTCAATACTCAAGATCAGATGGCCGGTCAGAAAAGATCAGCAACAGGGATCTCTGGCAATACGCGAACCAACCAGAAACCGATTGTGCAACAAATAGACAGGAAGAAATGGAAATGGATTGGCCATACGCTGAGGAAACCATCAAGTGGCATCGCTAGACAAGCCATTGCTCGATTGGAACCCGAAAGGGAAGCGGCGAGTTGGTCGTCACACGGTGGGGTGACTTAAAGGAGGTAATGTGAAGGGGAGATGAAACCATGTGGGCAGACTTAGAGCCAGGTGAAAACTCTAGCAGAGAACCGAAGTCAATGGAGACATGCGCGGCTGAAGCCCTCTGTTCCTCTAGGAATTAAAGGAAATAATAATAGCTGGTATAAATACCTGTTTGATCACTTGATGAAAATATACCTTAGCTTCCGCGTCTCGCCTTCTGTTGTTACAACACAGACTCAAAATATCCTGCAAAGGTCTGTGTTATTTTTGCGTTGTTCTACTTAAAGCACGATCAAAAGAAAAACAAAAACACGTGAAATTAAAACTGAAGTTATTAAGAAATGTAGGCGAAACGCTGAAGGCTAAAGGTCTGTTTTAGTTAGATTATTTCTCACCTCAGCGATTTTCTGAGAAAAACGTATATTTTCACGTATAATAAAAAAAACAAAAAAAACATAATTTTTTTACTTTTTTTAAAGATACATTGTATTCCCGTGTTTTACTCATTAAATGTCTTTAGGGTCATTTAAATATAAAATATGTATATACACATATGTAATTTATTAATTTTATAGACTAAATGGCTCTATTTAAAGCTTTTTAATTTTCTATGCTCATTGAACTATGTCTTCACATCATTTATAAAATAATAAATAAATAATAAAATATCTGGTGGACCAATTTATTAAATATATATAAGCAGGTGAATATCGTACACATAGATATATACATATACTCTCAGTTCTCGACAGATATTAGTTCGGAAAGAACATTTATTGTCGGCATAATCGCTGTGATGTATGATAGAAATGAGAAGTAGGCTGATAATTAGCAAGTCAGTAGCTTTAAGATGCTCCACTAAGTCGTATAAAAACAGTGAAGCCGTTCAACGAAGAGTTAATTTTCCCAGTGACATCAATATCATGCTGTACAGTCACATATACATTCATGAACATGGAATTCAAAGATGACATCACAGCGGAAATTCTTAGAAATCGCTTCTCTAAATGTCTGAAGAAGACATTTTTTAAAAACAACCTTACGTGTCGCATTCTTCAGCAGACAGTGTGAATCCAGTCTAACGGCTAAGGACAAGATACCGCTTTTGACTACTTCACTGTGTATTTATCAGTTTACTTGCTCGTATGGAGCAAAGTATACCGGCTGTACGTAGTGTGAAGTCCACAAACGTATTTTGGAACTCCCTCCAGATTGGTTAACCAGAGGAGAAAAGAAGAGTAGCAGCAGCTCTATCCGTGAACACTTTGCCATCTACGGACATTGAGCAACCCCACTTTGATGAATACTTCACAGTGTTACACAGAGTCCCTCAGTATCGTACAAAGGAACTTCGGATACGCCAACTGTACATCGAGATCTGAAATTGGACTTTTGTATTCAAAAGTGATACATACATTCTTCTGCCCTACCATGGCTAGAGTAAAGTTCTTACTACAGTTTTGCTTCTTTCCTTTATTATGTAAATTGACTATTATTATTATTATCCATACTTTTGTTATCACTGTTATTCCCATCATCTACATTTTATTACCACTCTATTACTATTTATTAATAACATTGCTTTTTCATACAGATTTTATACAGAAAAACATTTTATAGCCTTTCCATTAGCTCCTGTCCATTCTATACTAGTTTATTGATTAGTCATTATCTCACACTTATTACGTCATGCCAACTTCTGTCTCCTTTCTAACTTACAGTTAATTAGTCATCCATTCTTACACCTTACATTGTGTAACATATTTTGTTCGAGCACAAAGTTTACCAGTATCTGTCTGATTAGTCTAAATACTTCCTTGTTAAATATAATTACGATTGTATAGCTCATGAAAATGAATCGTCGAAAAAGGAAAATTTTCTTCGCTGTTTTCGCCTTTTTCTTATGACTCAAAGTGGGAATATTTCGTATATATATATATATTTATAGGATCGAAAGGAACGCTTTCAAAGATGGTATTTTGGATTGCATTGAACTGGATTATGCAACAGACTAAGTCTTAAGATCAAGAAGACAGGAATACGTTGGAGTGATAAAAAGATTCTGGGAGATGTGAACTTCACGGACGATTTGTTTCTAACGTCGCAAACAGTCGATGCTTTACATGCGAAAACCAACAAGCTGGCAGTGGACGCAGTCAGCAAAGATAGGACTTAAGTGAATATGACGAAAACAGAGGTGATAAAGTTACCCACTAACCAGCAACAACAGCAACTGACAACGATTACCAACAGGAGGCGGTATTGTTTCAACTGCAGGAAGTCGGCACGATGAGTCTATCAAAACCAGAAGGGGAAGGATAAGGCAGACCTTCATCGATTTGAAATGACTTTGGACATCTGCTGCACTCGGATCAAAGAATAAAACTCCAACACTCATATCAAGTCAGTCAGTGCTTCTGTATGGTTCAGAGACGTAACCTACATGTCATCGAAAACATTTTGAACAGGTTTCACAGTTTCATTAACAGCTACCTGCCCAGTTTACTAAGTGCTGAGGATAATACAACCGGCCAGAGAGAGAATTAGCAACTAGGAATGCTGGCTGCAGACGAACCAATCAAGAATCTATCGCCCAACAAATATTCCGAAACAATATCGATGGATTAAAAAAAACATACAGAAGAAATCATGGAGTGATATCACGTGCTAAACCTTCGTGTGGAACTCATATGGAAAACGAGGAGCTTGATGCAGTATCAGGAGTGACATGGAGGATGGTCCTGTGTGGTTAAGGAAATGAAAGCTCATGGACAGTCGTGGGGCAGAGTACAAGATATTCTGTTAAAGCCCTAAATTCTACTCGGAACCCAAGAGGAGTAATTATAATACACATTAGAGAAAGCGTTAATCGCGTAGAAACCCAGACAAATTTGGTTTGTGTGTTCTCTTGGTGTCCAGAATCCACTGGGTGTTCCAGTAGGAGGGGGGGGGGGGGTGAAGTTTTTCTCCCTTACAAAACCATGACACATTTGGATGCCAAAGATTCATTATGGCTGATTTACTCAGCTTCACGGGAGCAAGCCAACTGACAGATGTACACTAATTAAACCAGAATTCATACAAATCATTGGTTTCGTAAAGGAAACAATTCGAAGTTAAACTGCTAAGAAGGCATTTGTGTTCAGTGGATGGGAAAAACAATTTCTTAGTATCGATGTCCATGAGTAGTCGCCAATGAATTCCAGATCAGATAGAGGAGCACTTTACTTCAAACCTTATGAAGAAAACTAGAAATTTTTGAAGCGCTTTTTTTTGTCATAGGTTTTTGAACTCTGCGACTATCCATACACTATTACCACACTAAGAAATAAAATCAGAACATAAGGTATTGGTTTTTTTGTAGGGATTTAGTTTGACTGGTTGGAAGATTTCATCATGAGCTGACATCAGTTAGAGAACCATCGGAAAACCTGCAGGGAGTACTGGACAGATGTTTCGTCCTGGTTAGGGACTCTTCAGCAATACACACCCGACACCGGGGTTTTGAACCCAGGACCTTCTGCTAACAATACCTAATGGTCTACGTGCTCACCTAGTAACCAGAAGGTCTTGGGTTCAAACAACGCAGTGTGGGTGAAAACTGTAAAGAGTCCCAAACTAGGATGAAACAGCTGTCCAGTACTCCCTGGTTTTCAGTAGATTTCCAACTGATGTTAGCTCATGACGAAATGCTCCAACCAATCATAAAATCAGAACTTTTGACTTACACAATATGGTACACTGCTGATATCTAAAGGCCCAACTGGCATGTCACTGGTAGTCATTATCATGGTCCACTGTCAGCCAACGTTCATCTAAGGCCAAATTATGGCGAATTCCTCTGTTAAACTTCTATAGATGAAGTAATGACTCTTGATATTCGTTATATCCTGTCATAACTGGCATTTTTTTTTACTGGTAAATTCCTTCTTGTATTATGTGTGGTGTTACTTCATCGAAAATCTTTTAATTTTGCCTTTCCATCTGCCACATTTAGATTCTTTTACGACGTGAAGAAATGATACGACATGCTAAATGGCATAGAAAACGTGAAGAGAGTATGCAGTATGGATTTATGCGTTATAGTCCATGTGATGATTGTACAATTGCTGCTTGCCCACATAATGGACGTCAAACGCATTATCATTGCATGCAAGCAAACTGTGATAAGGTAAGAAAGTACTGTTATAATAATAATAATTTAAAATTTATCACAATAAACTGAAGCTTGATTTATGGTATTACTATTATTAGTTCGCCCAAATAGCTGATCAGAAGTCGAGGGGTTTCACCTGACTCGACAGCCTGAGCTAAGTCAAACAGGGTGAACTGATGATGAGCTCGATCCCGAACGATCAGGAAGGCCGTTCGGTGTTTAGATCACTACTATATTCATGTTTTTAATTTTTTTATTATAGTTTAACTCCACACTGTATTTTCGATACAAATATGGAATTTCCAGAATGTGATATCGGTAGCCTAAATTTAGTAGGTCGACCATCGATATCAGGTGTGCATCGGCTGGGGATCGATCCCTGGACCATGCACATAGTACGGGGTTCGATCCCCGGCCGATGCAATCCTTTACCTCGCTAAGCCAGTAATAAAGCTGGTAAAGAGAAAAGGTTGCGCATGAGACCAGCAACTCCGTCCCGTAAAAATAAACATTGCCACAGAAACCTCAAGCCTCTAGCTTGAAGCCCTATATTCCGCTGGGAACGTGAAGGAATTAAGAAAAAATAACTCAGGCTACAGGTGGATATCAGGGCCAGAGTCGGAAGTTAGGACTGCCTTTCTTCTACTTCAAAGTCACTATCGAGAACTGCGGTATTCAGCAGTTTGCAGCACTAATGTCAAGTCAGTCAGTGCTTCCACATAGTTCAGAAACTTGGCCTGTCAACGAAAGAATTTCAGACAGGCTTAAGGTCAGATAGTTGGTCGGATAAGCAATCAACAAATATGTCTAGCGGTGAAGCGAAACAGCAGACAAGAATCCATTACTCCAAAAATATGCAGAATTTAGTGGAGACAGACTATATATATATTCTGAGGAGAGCTACATACTCCAGGATGATAAAGGGATCAGGAAGCAACGGGTTACCTATTGGGTCCGAAGATGACATGGGTTAGCTAATAAGAATAGGGAAATGACAGTTGTGGAGAACACAGTGGAATCGAAGTGTATTCCAGAAGTCCTACATTTCACTCTGAAGGAAAGGAATGAATAACAGTGATGGTTGGTAACGTTGTTGAAATTCTCAAGCTCCTCAAGCATGCATAACAAATATAGCCTTATGTGAATTGATTGAAGCTTACTTATTTATATAGTCATACTCTCTACCAGATAAGTCCCCTCCACTGCTTTCACTAATTTGGTGTGTTCCTGAAAAAAGTGAAGGCTCAGATGTAAACGTTACGCCTAAAACAGGACTGATGGACGTGCAGACTTACCTAAAGAAGCTCAAAAACTGTGATTCCAAATCCATAGTGTATATGGGCTGCGTCGGTGGCACAGTGGTTAGGACTCTCTCCGACCATGGACATGGTCCGAGGTTCGATCTCTTGCCGACGCACACCCGATATCAATGGTCGGCCTGCAAAATTTGGGCTACCGATATCCATGCTGAAAATTCCATACTTGTACCAAAAATACAGTGTGGAATCAAGCTGTAATAAAAAAAATGAAATGAAATGAATAGTAATGCAGCTAATGGCGCCGCTTCACTGCCTTGAGGCCAAAACTTCAAGTCAGAGGCTTAGGGCAGGGTCCATAGAACAACCGTTTGCTTCGGTCTGGGCGTCTTAGCAGTATCCCACCCTTCACACAAACTGTGATATTTTGAGTGGAGAATTTCTTGGTGCTCAAAATGTATCAAGTTTGTTTTTCGAATAATCAATAATGATCTTTTAACAATTCTTCATCGGTTCAATGATCCTACCGCGATTTCCAGCTGACTAGCTGTGAATCTTCCCCTACTTTGGCAGCCGGCGGCAAGCCTCGAAAAGAGGGAGATAGAGAGAGAGAGTATAAGGCTAAAAGTCCTACCCTTCAATCAAAGACAACGGCTGTCACTATGTCCCACATAGAAATAAAGAAGGTGAAGGAAGGAGCGTAATGGGAAGCTACTGAGTCGACTCCATCTAGTACAGCATGGAAAGATAACACCAGTCAGTCACCTATTTGTCTATTGCAAACTGCATCAGCCGAAAGTTCTGTATAAGCATTTGCTACCCAACAACATGCTTCTGATTACACGATTAATTGATACTGGTGTCATGGAATCAATCTTTCACTGTCTAAGGAGCAGTTCTTATACTTCACAGTTACCGTCTGCGGTCTTACACTCCAGACTTCTCTAGTCGTTTAGATATAGATATGACTACCAACGGACCTCACTCAGAGGGTCTGTCGCTTTCAAACGGAAGACTGTTAAATCTTAGGATGAAGATTTTCTGTATTGCCTTGCCATAGCGAAATCAAGTGTTGGACTTAGATGTCTCAGATAAGGATACGAGCACCTCATCAAATGGCTGATTGCCTGAAATTTGATGACCCATGCATTCTGACTACTGCAGACACTCACCTTATGATGTCACTGTCATTTAATATAATTGTTGGGTTGTCTTTCCTCACAAATCGAACATCTGAACACTAATCCATTGCTCATTGGTCATTATTGTCGGGAAATTAACATAAGATATCGTAACAGGTAAACACTAATGCTCGCTGACTGTTCAGAGTTATCACAGATTTATCGTCACAAAGGTTACATCAGTGTGCCTGTAATTTACATTATTTCGTGAATTGACTCAATGTTCTGTCGAATCAGGATGCTACTTCTACCCAGATCAGTCTATATCGTTGAGAAAACAATTAAAGCGGATTGATGTACAGATAAGTACACTCAGTTAGCGTCAATCTTTATCTTCTATTTTGCATTTTTTGAAGTTTTTCGAGTTTCCTGTTAACTGATTATACAGAAAAGAGAAGTTGGATCTTTGTTGACATGTCAGCCCTTAGTTTAGACGCTTCGATAATACCTTGAGGTGAACTTAGCGTCCACACTGCGGCTCAAATCCATTGTTTCCACAAATATCAACCGTTATCAGATGGTTGGAGACAATCCACAGGAAGCCCCACATGACCTAGGTTTCGTATGTGTATGCACTCTTCAGCAAGGTGTGTGAGTGACATTTGAGCCCAGGTCACCAAGTGCTGCTGTTCAGACTTGCGATTGACCTCCAGTAGTTAGTTGTAGATGATACCTTGACTTCTTGAATACTGGATGCTGATTTTCAGCGAGAATACCATTTGCTATCGAGAACCCCGGAGGCATACCCAGATGACGAGTCCTATAAGGGAAGAAACGCCTGTCTAGAATTCCACTGTTACCCACTACAAAACAAGTCACCATATCCCCTTTCACTTTAATAAAAATGCACAATTTTTTGACCAGTAATTTTATTAGGCGTCTTTATGCCAAATAAGTTTGGTTCACTTTTCCCTTTACACACTATTCCAATCATCATTAACTAACTCCGGACGGCAAAAGGTATCATTCTCTCACAAGTGTGCATATACGTTTAAGTAATGTGTAGCATAAAATTCCTGTACTATTCGACCACATTCTACCAAAGCTTTCTCTTTTCTAACTTCAAAATTATCTGCAAATAAGCACATTTTATTATGGAATTTCTGTATTTCGCTTTTCTATAGAATACTATTTTTGTGTGCTTTTCACGTAGTGTTTCTTCTGTGTGTTTTTTCCTATAGAAGAGAGTGTCAGTTGTCTTCACACTTTTTTTCATTTTCTCTTGTTTTCTAGGGCGTCTACTTTTATGCTTGTTAGTGTACACGTATGTGTGTGTGTATGTGTGTGTTACAGGATGACGGTTATGGCGGTTATGATGTCTGTGAACGCATTCATATTTGTCTGTCGGAAAAATTATTTGCAAAGGTACATGTGTGCGTCAAAGGCACACGCATAGGTTTGGAGTGAAGATGAACGAGAATAAGAAATGGCACACAATGAAAGTACGCACACATGTGTGTCAATTTGTGCGGATTATTTCGGTCCAACTGACGAATATTAAAAAGAACAGTGTGCTTGTTTGTTGTTCATAGAATTACAGTGTAGAGCAGATGGTTCCCTCCTCACGCCAAATGTAAGATGATGTTTTAGAACTGGTATACAGCGACTCTTAGTTTAAAGATAAAGAGTGAAGTCATTGAGCGTTATGACCACTTCACCTGTTTGGGAAGTTGCCTCAACCCCCAATAAACCAATGATTGTTGATGGAATCTCAACACGAATATGAAGGAATTGTGTGGGATTTATCAACTTACACCATCTGTAGAGTAAACGTGTGATATATAGAGGTGGCCGTCAAAGAATGTGCACACTGCTCATCATTTCGTTTTGTCCCTTCCATGGTAGTAGGACATGGCCAATAAAAATGGGAAATTCAAGTGTTGGTTTGTAGTGATATGATTGGTTACAGGATTTCACCATGAGCTGACATTGGTTAGAGAAACACTGGAAAAGCAACTGGGAGTACCGGACACCAGATTTGTCCTAGTTTTTATCTTTTCAACTCTACGCACCCATACCACAGTGGGGTTAGAACACAGGACCTTCTGGTTACAAGATGAACTAACTCGTAGACGATTAAGCCACTGGGACTTGGTCCCGTGGCCCATGAATTCTAGCTTCCGCGAGTACACGACATAGTGCGACCCCTAAACCAATGTCTTTGGCGAGTATTTGTCCTCACACTCGACCTGCTGCACCCTACTGGTCACGACTTCTAACTTCAACCCCAGGTAACTACCTACCTGAATAGGGCAAGTCACTAGTGAGCACCTCATTGGTATTCAAGTATTAGATTATAGGGATCTGATTGGGGTTCTAGTGAGAAGTCATGACCAGTAGGGTGCAGCAGGTCGAGTGTGGGGACAAATACTCGCCGAAGACACTAGCTACGGGCTACGGCTGTCCAGTACTCCCAGGTGGTTTTCCAATGGTTCTCTAGCCAGTGTCGGCTCATGATGAAATCCTGTAAAAATGGGAAACATTAAAAGTCTAACTGTCTTTTATATTCAATCCCCCGTGCTAAATGATATAACATGGTCAGTAGTATTGATGTTAAGCATAGAGCGCTAGGTAAAAA